TTTTTTGCTACTTTTACAACATATAATATACTTAACAATCGCTGTTTCTTTTTCTCAATGCTGCTTTTTTTTATTTATTTATTTATTTTTCTCTGATGATAAATTCAATTAGAGCTTTTAACATAAGGCGGAAAAAGAAAAAAGAAACCGGTTTGTAAAAATTTTGTGAAGGAAAAAAACACTTCTGATTGCATGACGACCTGTTGTCATCAGCAAAAAAAAAAAATAAGAAAAAAAGAAAGCAAAATTATCATTTGACTTAATTTTGACGGAAATGACTATGGCATATTTTTTTATTTTGCTGTATGTGTCTTCAGTTTCTATTTTTGCCCCCGTTGTGTATCTGCCATTTGGTAGTGCTGAAAAAAAAGAAGAAGAAAAAAAAAAAAAAGTTTTGCAAAAAATAAAAAGGAAATTTGGTTTTTGATGTAAAACAATAGGTTATTGTTGGTCTAAGATTGGTAACACAGTCAATTTTGACAGTTTGTTGTACAATATATTTTTGCTTTATTCAGCTAAAACAGATCTGACACCCTGAAAAGTTCATAGCCTTCTGAGTTTTTTTTTGTTCTGCATTCAACCATATTTTTGATAAGCAACAAATTTTATAGCTAATAACAACATAGGCTTAAATGTTTCTTAAACTTTTTTTTTTTTTTAGAACTTCTAATATATAAGTGTAATTTACTTTTGTTTGAGCAACAAGAAACCAGTATAAGTTTTCCTTTTTTTTTATGGAATACCTACCGGTTTATAACAGTTGCGAAACTGGACATTTCACCGCAGAAATTGATTGAAAAAAATTGAAACGGTTTTTTGGATTTTACATACTGATAATTTATGTTACTGCAAATCAATGAACTTTTGTAGTTTTTTGAATCATCAAAAATCGTTTTAAAAGTTCAAAAATTCTATTCTTGTTTTTGGTCACAGTAATTCTTTTGTTGTCAGTTACGATTACTCACTATTAGACCGGTCTCCTATTTTCTTCTGTTCTACCGGAAAAAGTTCAACTTTTTTCCCATATTTCTTTTACAACCTCAACTGTGTTGTTTCTGCTGAATAGAGTGCCAGCCAGCTTTTGAGATGCCATAGAAGATATAGTTTTTTTTCACATTGGTAATCACCTTAAAATCAAATTTTTTGTTCGTTGAAAACACTTGATTGTTCATGTTATTCGTTCTTGATAAAGTAGAATTGATTTAACCTAACTTCTTGTTTAACCTTTTTTTTTTTCAAAGAGATAGAATTGTTTTGGTTCTCTAATCTTTTTGCCTTCTACAAGTAAAATTTTTGGCGACTTTGTGTGGTATAAAAACAGTGTGAAAAACTGATGTGCTTTTTTCTTCTCACAACCATTTGTACCCACAGTTGTTGCAGAAGGATTCACAGAACTGCAGGAGAACAAAAAAAAACAAAAATTTTTTTTTTTTTGAGAAACTTTTGTATTTGTAAATTTTTTTATTCTTACGATTAGCTATGCGGAAGTACTTTTGAAAAAAAAGACAAAATTTCATAGCACTCCTCTTTCTGAATTCAAAATTCATCCACCAAATCATTTTATGGTTACCAGATGCTTCATCCTGAAGTTGTATTAAGGAAATAGAAAACAATAAATGTTTTCTTTCAGAGGACTAAAACTCAAACAGTATGCGTCTTTTTGTTTTATTTTAGCAGTTATATTCTTTCAATTTTTGCTTCTTCTCTTCTGTACTTAAGTAGGTTCAAAGTGTCTTCTTAAACTTCTAATACTTCAAATTTTGAATTTCGACCAAAATATATGCTCTTTTAATCTGTCACATAAAGAATTAGTAACTGTTTGTCCGCTTATTTGGCAAAAAATGACTGTGCAGTTCTTAGGCCTCATCAATTAGTGTTCTCGTATTTTAAGAACAGCTTTTTCAATGCCCACTTTTTGTTTAATTTTTAATAGATAAGTTCTTTTTTTTCCGTTGATCAAAGATTGAATTGAGGATTATACATTATGCCACATATTTACTCTGTTTAGAAATAAATGCAATAAAAATTTAAGTTATTAGTAGCAGGATTAATCTTTATTTCAATAAATATTAGTTTAATAAAAAACATTTATTTGATAACTTACAAACCAACTTATTGAATTTATAGGCCAGAAGAAGAGACTCAACGGTCTTTACTCGGAGAATCTGATGATGATCGAGAAGACAGTGAACCGCTGTCAGGAGATTTGGAATTTGAAGTGGCGAAAATTAAGAAAGAAAGTTTTAGGGCGTTCAGTCGTCGTAAGTGTATCGCCTTCATTATGTCAACAATGTGAGATTGCAAAATTCTGAAAACTAAAATTATTGTATAATTTCAGGACAGCTACAAAATGTAATCCACTTTTTTGTGGAAGATTGGTTTTTGTCGGCAATGTTGGGTATCATCACTGCTATTTTGTCGATTACTGTGGATGTTGCTATCGAATATATTCAACATTGTAAAGCTATTTTTCTTGTCTTGGTACTTCTTGGTTAATTTTTGCTCCTAGATTAACCGCTGTTGATCTTGCAGATAGAGTAGTTTTGTATGAATATGCTCAGCAGCACCATGAATTCAGTGCACTGATATCTTGGATAATGTATATAACTTTGATGACTGGAGCTGCTGCCATCTTTTGCCACATCGTATCAAAACAAGCTGTTGGTACGAATTTCTGCTGCCTTGTTTTAGTTCCTCATTCTTTGTTGATTCTCTTGCTTGTGTATTCTTTATTTGTGATTGTAAACGTCTGGTAACGAAATTATTCTTTCAGGTTCTGGCATTCCGGAAGTCAAAGTTATCATGCATGGATTTGTCATGAAAGGTTACTTGACGTTGCGTACAATGATTGCAAAAATGATAGGGTTAACGTTAACGTTAGGAAGTGGTCTGCCAGTCGGCAAAGAGGTCTGTATTTTGGGAAAAAAATTTTTTTCTTTTAGGCTTCTTTTTCATCTATTTTTGACTTGTATATATTTATCTTTAATTAGTTTCTAGGGTCCATTTGTACATATGGGTGCAGCTGTTGCCTCGTTGCTTACACGAGCGACAGCATCCTGTCGTTATCAGGCATTTTTCTCGAATGAGGGTCGTGAAATGGAGATGTTGTCTTCAGGTTGTGCAGTCGGTATCGCCTGTACTTTTTCATCGCCAGCGGGAGGTTTGTTTATAAATAAGAAATTACTCTTTTTTCGTAAGTTTTATATAACAGTGATAAATTGAATTTAGTATTACCGTGCTTAATTTTTAACAGATGTGTTTAGCTGTACTGTACGGTATCGAGTCAACTTCTAAGTACTTTGCGGTTAAAAATTATTGGCGAGCATTTTTCGCCACGACCTGTAGTGCATTAATTTTTCGTGCTGCAAATGCGGCTATTATTCCACCGCATATTGGTTAGTGGATATTTTAGTATATTTTAGTATTACAGTTTGAAATATAATTCACTTACAAGTCTTAAAAGACATTAAAAAAACAGCTAATACTTTTTTTTTTGATAGTAAATTTATATAACAACAATTAATGGCATTAATTTTTTTCTAGTTAAGTAAACGGTTTACCATCAGTAAAAATCGGAGCTAAACAACTGTTGAATTGTACAGTCTTCTCTTAAAATTCTTTGTTTAAAGTCTTTTTTTTTTTAGCCGGCACTATTACCGCTTACTATCAGACAAACTTTCCAAATGAGGTGTTCGTTGTCGAAGAAATTCCTGTGTTTGCTTTGATCGGGTAACAGTCTTTTTAATGCATACTTTATCTTCAAGTTTATTTAGTGAACTATTCGAAAAATACACATTTCTCAATTTTTTTTATTTTTTTTAAAACATTTTACTAATTTTAGCGTTTTTTCTGGCTTATTGGGCGCGCTGTTTGTACTTGTTCACCGAAAAATTGCTTATTTTCGTGAAAAAAATAAGCTTTATAAAGCGATCTTTGGAAAAAAGTAAGTAATTTAGAGACTTCAATTTTTTGTTGATCAAATTTATACCTTCATTACGCAAAAAAAGCGAATTTAAAATAAAAACTTTTTACGAGCTTCTGTTTTTTATTTTGTCTGCAACTTGTCTTTTCTTTCTTTATTTATTCATTTTTTTGTTGTTGATTAAACTTCCAACTGCAATTGTTGATAGGCTACTTGCAAAGAAAATTATCAGAACTTTTTTGTAGCCCTCTATTCTTCACAATCTTTATGGCAGTGGTGGTAGGAATGTTAACATATCCGGAAGGAACTGGTCGTTACTTTGCCGGAAAGGTAGCTGTTATTAGCTTTACAAATTTGTAATAATGCTTTTTTTTTACTTCAAAAAAAAAAGTTTTACTATTTTACTGTGATGCTAATTTTTTCTAGTTAACGTTTCGCGAAACCCTTGCTGACTTTATTGCAAATTGCACATTCTCACAAGCTAATCTTACTGATCGAGGCTGCCCGATGTCAAAGATGGAACACTGGACTGGAGGACCTGGTGGAAACCTTGATGTTATCTTTACACTAACCACTTACTTAGTAGTTTACGTAAGTTTTAGGCTGTAGATTACAATAAAAACCAAGTATCGTTATTTAGTGATATCTCTTGTTCCTTTTTTCTTTTTGAATTCTGATGACAGGCACTGTTACTTAGGAAGTTACTTTTTTATTTAGTTTATACTGGTTGCAATTTGCGTTTCATTAGCTGTACCTGCCGGTATTTTTGTTCCTTCATTCGTCATTGGTGCTTGCGGTGGTCGAATTGTTGGCGAGTTAATGGTTAACTGGTTTCCAGAAGGATTACGTGGTCTAGATGGTCCACAAATTTATCCCGGTTTATACGCTGTTGTTGGTAACGTTTTGTACAGTTTGTATTACAAATGACTTTCAAGCATTTACGAAATTTAAGGGCAACTTTAAGTAGAAGTTCAGCATGTCGTATAGAGTAATAAAAATCGAAATTTTTCTCTCTGAAAAATTGTTAAAGTTGAAATGACGTTTTGTTCTGCAGCGTAAGCTACTTCCTATTTGGTACAGTTTCCCGATTAGTTCAGTTTCATGTCTTAAACAACTGTATTTAGGTGCTGCTGCATATACGGGTTCTGTAACACACTCCTTGTCAATTGCAGTTATTGTTTGTGAGACTACGGGTCAGCTTTGTCCACTTTTGCCGGTTTTGGTGAGTAAATTAGCAGCGCTACTGTTTCGTTCACAGTTTTTTAATCTATTTGACGTTAATTAGAAAATTCTGCTATTCAGCTAAATCTGTAACGAAGTATTTTAAAAAAATTTTATTCACAACCGTAATTTTTGGCTTTTTTTCTTCTGTACATCACCTATGACTTTCTCTTGATTTATCTGACCGCACTATTTGTAGACCGCATTGATGATCGGTGTTGCTATTAGCAGCTTCTTACAGCCCTCAGTTTACGAAAGTATTATTAAGATCAAAAATTATCCTCATCTTGCTGATCTCCCGCCGTCTCGTATCAGGTTTGTTAGCTATTATACAACAGTTGCTATTCCTTTAAACTTTTTGCCATTTTAAATACAATTAATTATTTATTAAATCTAAAAAATATAAACTAAGTATAAATTACAATTAGTATGTTGCACTAAGGCTTTTCTTCAGTTTAATTTACATAGATGTCTAACAGAACAGTGTTCAAAAAGTATTTTCTTTATAATAAACTGAGAAGCCATTAAAATAGTTGATTTTTAACGCTCTATTTTGTTTTTGATTCTCTACTCAAAAATTGTTATTATTAAACGAAAATAAGTACTTTTTTTCTGTTAATTAATGTCTTTGCAGCGCAAGCTTTCGAAATTTTATTGCTTTTGTTATTGTAGTGTTCATACATTAAAAGTTGAAAAAGTTATGGTTCACGACGTAATCTGCATCACGAAGGATACTACTTATAAAGAATTAAGAGAGATACTTCTAGCAACACCAAGTCTTCGTTCGTATCCTCTTGTCACCGATATGAGTAAGCTGGACTTTCCCTTGTCTTTTTTCTACTTCTTTTTTTTATTTATACTTAACCTTTATTTTACTAAATTATATGCCGTTTTAATGACATATTTAAATATTTCGACTGGTATTGGCTTTTGGAAAAATATCATTTTTTGTCAAAATATTCTTCTCACGCAGAAAATAATTTTTGTATTTAATGTATACTGATGTGTTAATATAGAATCCCGATTTTAGAATCAAAGATTTTGCTGGGTTCTGTAGCTAGAAGATATCTGAACTATCTTCTGTTGGAAAGGCTTGGTCCGGATCCAGCTCTTTTGGATAGGAAACGCCGAAACACTGCATCGGAAATCTTTGCTCCTTTCAAACGTTCCTCGCACACTCATTTGAACACATTGCTTACAGATCGCAACATTAGCGGAAATACTCTTTTGGCCAACAGTCCACTTCACGATACCCTCAGAGAAAGTATATTTTCAGAAAAACTTCCAAAGTTTTTTAGACTTCAATTTAGAGCTTATGTTTTTGAAAATTATTTTTTCACCTAAACTTATATCTTTACTTCTTCTAGATGGTCCACTGGCTCCTCTTCTAAGACGACAAGCTGAACCCGATGTTCACGTAAGTACAATGGTATAATGCACTTGAAAAAAAAA